GCCACGGGGACCGTCGGTGGGGCTCCATATGGGGCCACGAAACGTTGTACTGGGTGGGGGAGACGCAAGCGGACTGCGCCGCGGGGACCTTCGGCGGAGCCCCCATGGGTCAACGAAGCGCTGTGCTGGGTGGGGGAGACGCATGCGGACTGCGCCACGGGGACCTTCGGTGGGGCTCCATATGGGGCCACGAGGCGCTGTACTGGGTGGGGGAGACGCATGCGGACTACGCCACGGGAGCCTTCGGTGGGGCGTCATATGGGGCCACGAAACGCTGTACTGGGTGAGGGAGACGCATGCGGACTGCGCCACGGGGACCTTCGGCGGAGCCCCTCGAGAAGCCACGAAGCGCTGTACTGGGTGGGGGGAGACGCACGGACTGCGCCACGGGGACCCTCGGCGGAGTCCCTATGGGGCCACGAAGCGCTGTGCTGGGTGGGGGAGACGCATGCGGACTGCGCCACGGGAACCTTCGGTGGGGCACCATATGGGGCCACGAAACGCTGTACTGGGTGAGGGAGACGCATGCGGACTGCGCCGCGGGGACCTTCGGCGGAGCCTCTATGGGGCCACGGAGCGCTGTACTGGGTAGGGGGGACGCATGCTGACTGCGCCAAAAAAAAAAGGGGGGGGCGACCTTCGGATGGGGCCCCATATGGGGCCGAAGCGCTGTTTACTGGGTGAGGGAGACGCAATGCGGGACTGCGCCACGGGGACCTTCGGGGGGCTCCATATGGGGCCACGAAGCGCTGTACTGGGTGAGGGAGACGCATGCGGACTGCGCCACGGGAGCCTTCGGTGGGGCTCCATATGGGGCCAGCCACGAAACGCTGTACTGGGTGAGGGAGACGCATGCCGACTGCGCCACGGGGACCTTCGGCGGAGCCGCTTAATGGGGCCACGAAACGCTGTACTGGGTGGGGGACGCATGCGGACTACGCCACGGGAGCCTTCGGTGGGGCGTCATATGGGGCCACGAAACGCTGTACTGGGTGAGGGAGACGCATGCGGACTGCGCCACGGGGACCTTCGGCGGAGCCCCTATGAAGCCACGAAGCGCTGTACTGGGTGGGGGGGACGCATGCGGACTGCGCCACGGGGACCTTCGGTGGGGCTCCATATGGGGCCACGAAACGTTGTACTGGGCGGGGGAGACGCATGCGGACTGCGCCACGGGGGCCTTCGGTGGGGCTCCATATGAGGCCACGAAGCGCTGTACTGGGTGAGGGAGACGCATGCGGACTGCGCCACGGGGACCTTCGGCGGAGCCCCATATGGGGCCACGAAGCGCTGTACTGGGTGGGGGAGGCGCATGTGGTACACACCACTGGGGCTTTAGGTGGACCTCCCTATGTGGCCACGAAGCGTTGTACTGGGTGGGGGAGACGCATGTGGTACACACCAGTGGGGCCTTAGGTGGACCTCCCTATGGGGCCACGAAGCGCTGTACTGGGTGCGGGAGACGCATGTGGTACACACCACTGGGTGGACCTCCCTGTGGGGCCACCAAACGCTGCCATGGGTGGGGGAGGCGCATGTGGTACACACCACTGGGGCTTTAGGTGGACCTCCCTATGTGGCCACGAAGCGTTGTACTGGGTGGGGGAGGCGCATGTGGTACACACCACTGGGGCTTTAGGTGGACCTCCCTATGTGGCCACGAAGCGTTGTACTGGGTGGGGGAGACGCATGTGGTACACACCAGTGGGGCCTTAGGTGGACCTCCCTATGGGGCCACGAAGCGCTGTACTGGGTGCGGGAGACGCATGTGGTACACACCACTGGGTGGACCTCCCTGTGGGGCCACCAAACGCTGCCCTGGGTGGGGGAGACGCATGTGGTACACACCACTGGGGCCTTAGGTGGACCTCCCTTTGGGGCCACGAAGCGTGAGAGGAGGAAGGGAGGAAGGAGGAAGAGGAGGAGGAGGAGGAGGAGGAGGAGACGCGGGGACCGTCTCTTCAAAACGAGGACCCAACAACACAGGTTGGTTAGGAAAAATACTGTGGGGGCGATGTCTTGACAATTCGTGGTTTCTTTTGCATGTGTTTTGGCTATTTTACATGTTTCGTCAACAGTTCGCCTGTAGAGGACACGCCCGACCTAACCCTACCCTCTGGTGCGCTCCGTCAAACCCAGAGATCCGACGTCGTGATTTTTTCAATGTGGGGTTCCCAGAAGTTTCGACACCATTCCCCAGGACCGGTTTTTCATCTTGCGTCGCTTTCTGACCGTCCCGGGGCCCGGCGAGAGCCCCTCGAGGCCGAAAAATATGAAAAACCTACGTCGTGATTTTTCACTACGTCGGATCTCTGGGAATCCCTCGTGTTTTTTTCAATGCGTTGGATCTCTCAGAATCCCTCCTGCCGGATGAGGGTAGTAGCAGGAGCTTGCTCCTGGGCTCCCGCGCACGGGGCCCCTCTGCCTGGCCCCCGGGGCCCTCGAGCAGGAGGCTGGGGCTGAGAGCTACCCGTAAGTCGGGCGTGTCCTTCTACAGGAGGACGATTCAAAAGTAGGCAAAAATTAGCCTGGGGACGATCTTTCGACTATGTTTGAACATTTTCGGTGTTTTGTTGAGTACTTTTATTTTTTTCGTCCGAAATCCGCCTGTAGGGGGACACGCCCGACTAAAAGCTACCCGTAAATCGGGCGTGCCCTTTCTTCTACAGGAGGAATTTTCAAAAAGTACCAACAAACAAATACGCAGACGCTTTTTTATTATTTCTATGTTTGACCATTGTTGTTTTTTTCCGTCCAAAATCCGCCTGTAGGGGGACATGCCCGACGTAAAGCTACCCCCGGGGGAGGAGGTCGGGTCCTCCTTGGGCTGCGAAGGAAACATCGGGATCTGCATAACCTCTCGGAGTTCCGCGCAGCTTCCCTGGATCGGCGCCAGGCCCCCCTGGCGGCGCCCCCGGCGCCGCGCCGCTCCCGGGCGCCTGGGACCGATCCCAGGAATCCCTCGCGGATCTTCGAACGGTTATGCTGAAGGGGATGTGTCTTGTCCTGTTTCTCCCCCTTGCCCCACACTGGTTCCGCTCAGCAGGCGCAGTGGGGGCAGGTTCGGGGTGCTGGGCTCGAGGCGGTTTCTTCCCACTGTCCTAGGCTGGTTTCTTGTGGCGACTCAGACGCATACGACACCTCACCTCTTCTTCCCTTTCCTCCCTCTATTTCCTTCCGTCTTCCTTAGTCAGACTCGTACTCATCAGCACTCAGACCCATCCATATCCAGATTTCCCACACCCAGGCTCGCATGCACTGAGACTCGATCGCGCCAGACTCACTCACACTCCGATTCAATCGCGCTCAAGCTCGCTCACAGTGAGACTAACTCAGACGCGGACACACTCGCACTCCGACTCATTTGCACTCAGACTCGCTTACGCTCAGGCTCACTCCCATTCAGACTCATGCAAACTTATACCCACTCGCAATTCGATTTACTTGCGCTCAGACATACGCGCACTCAGTTTCACACTCATACTCACTAGCGCTACGTGATGGTTTCATCCCAGATTATGAGGATGTCTCGAGCGACGCTTGGGTTAAGCACTCCCAAGGGTGGAGCTGCCAAAGTGGTTGCACAGGCCCGTTCGCGCCTAGATTGTGAGGATGTCTCGAGTGAGGCGCTGGTTTGAGCGCTCCCAATGGGGAGCCGCCAGGGTGGTTGCACGGGCCCGTTCGCGCCAATCTTGTGTGAAATCTCAGGCGGTTTGCCTGCTTGGTTGCCGAGGATGGGCAATCAAAGCAAAGAGAGGAGGATTACGAGAATGAGGAGAAGGCGGAGGCGGGGGTGGAGGAGGAGGAGGAGGAGGAGGAGGCGGAGTAGAAGGAGGAAGAGGCGGACGAGGAGGCGGAGGAGGAGGGGAAAGATGAGGAACATGAGGAGGATAAGGAGGAGGAGCAGGATGAGGAGTAGGAGGAGGAGCAGGCGCAGGAGCAGGAGGAGGAGGAGGAGGAGGAGAGGAGCAGGAGCAGGAGCAGGAGCGGGAGCAGAAGAAGGAGGAGGAGGAGGCACAGAAAGAGCAGCGGAGGAGGAGGAGGGAAGAGGGAGGATGAAGAGGAGGAGGAGGAGGAGGAAGATGAGGAGGAGTAGGGGAAGATGAGGAGAAGGGGGAGGAGACGTAGGAGGAGGAGGAGGAGGAGGAGGAGGAGGAGGAGGAGGGATGGAGGGAGGAGGAGGAGGAGGAGGAGGAGGAGGGAGGAGGAGGAGGAGGAGGAGGAGGGAGGAGGAGGAGCGAGGTGGAGGAGGAGGAGGAGGAAAGAAGAGGAAGGAGGAGGAGGAGGCGGAGGAGGAGGAGGAGGAAGAACATGAGGTGCAAACAGAGGAGGCGGAGGAGGAGTAGGAGGAGGAGGAGGAGAAGGAGAAGGAGGGGGATGAGGAGGAGGAGGAGGAGGAATAGGAGGAGGAGGAGGGCGAGGAGGAGGAGGAGGGGGATTCTCCATGCTTGGCCAACGTCAAAAAGAAAGCGGAGGAGGAGGAGGAGGAGGAGGAGGAGGAGGAGGAGGAGGGAGAAGGATACCTTGGCGGAGGAGGAATTGGGGAGGGGGAGGAGGAAGGAGGATACGCCCGTGGCTCCTCCCCTTGACTTCCGTCGAGCCTCTGGGAGCCAGGGCCTGTACTCGCTGGGAGAATTCGATATGGTGCCCAGTTTTTGTTTGGTGGATGTCGGTCTCCATGGAGCCCATGGAGCCCCTGGCGGCAGTGCGAAGGTTTTCTGGATTGTGAAGGTTCCCTCTGGGTGGCTTCGCCAACGCAGCGGGAAGCAGAAAGAGGATGGGGAGGAGGAGGAGGAGGAGGAGGAGGAGGAGGAGGAGGAGGAGGAGGAGGAGGAGTAGGAGAAGGACGAGTTGGCGGAGGAGGAGGAGGAGGAGGAGGAGGAGGAGGAGGAGGAGGAGGAGAAGGGGGAGGAGGAAGAGAAGGGGGAGGGAGGAGGAGGAGGAGGAGGGAGGAGGAGGAGGAGGAGGAGGAGGAGGAGGAGGAGCGCGAGCGTTCCCAGGGAGCCGCGGTACGCCTACCTGATGCAGGCGGCCGCTCTTTCGCTCAAGCCTCGCCGCCCCCCGCCCCCGCGTCCCGTGCAGGTTTCCCTCCCCTCAGCCTCAATTCGAGCTGCTTCCACTCGCACGCCCCAGCCCCTTCGCCTGCCTCCTCCTCCTCCTCCTCCTCCTCCTCCTCCTCCTCCTCCTCCTCCTATGCATCCTCCTCTTCCTCTTCCTCCTCCTCATCATCAGCCTCGCACTCATCCTCTCATTTTCCTGCTCGAGGTTCAAGGGCGGGAGGCAGAAGGAAGGGCAGGATAGGACTTCTCCTCCTCCTCCTCCTCCTCCTGCTCCTCCTCCTCTTCCTCGGAGCCGTTCTGGTTCAGGCTCTGACGCTGAGCTTGCAACCGCGTGTTTCAGAGCAGCTCGCGCTTGCGGGCCAATCGCTTTTCTCGTTCGGCCCGAGGGAAATCAGTTGTCCGCCGCGGGCCACGCCCGCCGAGGATGACACCGCAGTCTCGCGATGTCCCGGCGGGCCCGCGCACGCCGCTGTGGGGCTGCTGCTGCGGGGCCGCCGGCGCCCTGGCGTCGCGCGATGTCTGCCGGGGCTGCGGCGCAGCGGCGCCGACCAGGATCGCTGTCACGGCGAAGCGGGCAGCAGCGCAGCTGCGCAGTTGAGGGCCGCGTGTGGCAGGGGCTGGCTCGATGGGTGCTGGCTCAGGCTCCACCGGGGCGCTCACCAAGGCCATCAAGGATCTGCAGGCGCAGATGGCGCAGATCAAGAACGCGGCCAGCGCTGCAGGCACCGCGGGGGCGGCAGCCGCAGCCAATCCCCCATGGAGAGCGGCTGGGCGCCCTCCCAAGGTGGGCTCGTCGGGTTCAGGCGGCGCAGCCCCATCCTACAAGGAGGTCTTGGGCTTCCTCAAGGCCCAAGGGGTGGACCAGGCCGCCAGCGTCGCAGTCGAAGCCGCCGTGAAGAAGGCTGCGGAGACCAAGCCGCCGAACGCTCGCACGATGCGGCTTGGGACGGACACGAAGGTCGGCAAGTTGTGGGCCCGTGTGGAGGTTTTTCGGTTTCAGAAGATCGAACTCGAGGTTTGGATCGCGGAGATCGAACAATTACGTACAGCATCGGCTCGACCAAGGCGGGGACCGCAGCCGCGGAGGAGCTCATCTGCAAGGTCCAGGCGAGTGAGCTCGAAAACCCGTTGCTCACCGTGTCCGCGGCGCTGGACTTGTCCTTCACGGAGTCGGAGGCAGGCCGGGGGGCTCTTGCAGTCCTCCTGAGGCTTCACCAAGAGGCTCTTGCAGCTCTGCAGGCCCCTCGTGCTCCTGTCCCTGATGTTGGTGGCGCCGTTGCTGCAGGTGCTTGCGGAGGGCCACCCAGTGCAGCCAGCGTCGAGGCGGTCGACGGCGACGGCCACGACATCGACATAGAGTTGCTGGGCGGCGAGGGCTTCGCTGAGCGCCACGAGGCCTTTGCCAAGGCTGCCGAGGAGCTGCGAGCGACAGCCAGCGGGCCCACCGAGCAGCTCGCTGAGGCCAGGCGGAAGTACTCCGAGGCGGCCCAGAAGTTTGGCGCCAAGAGGGTCCGGGTATCCCGGCAGCAGCTCCAGGGCCCGTGACCCTGTGGAGCTGTTCGGGGACCACTACGCCATGGACGTGGAGCGGCCGCCGCTGGAGCAGCCTAAGTGGTCGGTTGGCGGTCAGGGGTTCGGCGCTCGTGGCTCGGCTTCTGGCGCGTCGACTGGCCCGACTGCGACGGCTGGCACATTTCCCAAGTCTGCGCGGCCTGTGTCCAGCCCTCCCGAGAAGGCGGAGGCGGCGCGTCTGCGTGGACCCACCGGGAGGGAGGCGCGACGTCTCGGCGCGTCGAATCGTTGGAGGAGGCTGGGCCTGCTCACTCGTCTTCCCCGATGGCGTGGAGGGGGTCGGCGCCCCCCCCTTCCTCGATGGCGACAGGTGGATCGTCGCTGCCCCGGGCTTCGATGACGCCGTCGGGTTCGGGGGCCAGGAGGGCAGCGAGTTCGGCCTGTTCGGATTCGGTGACTGGCTCTACTTCGTCGTTGGCAGCCACGTCTGGTCTGACATCGAGACCTTCGCCCGATGCCACCATGGGCCCGGAGGCCCGGATACTGCGAGCCCAGCAGACGCGAACTGCGTTCCCTCTGCTCCGCTGGCGCTCGAAATGGGCTCGAAATTGTCACGGCTAGGATCTGACAGGCGCGGCGCGACGCTTGGCGACGACCCGCCTGAGCGCGATCTTAAAGCTGATAAGAGTACGCGGCCGCCAGCTATTGTTCGCGTTGAGGTGCCCGGCAAGTTTCGGCTCGACCTTCGAGTGACTTTCGCTGGAGCGACCTTTGGCGCGGGCACGAATGGGTCCTCGGACCGCCGAACTCGATGCATTAGCAGCGCCTTGCGCGCTTGCGTTTGGCCCCCGCGCGGCCCCCCAAAAGCCTCGCACCAAAGGTCGCCCTTGCCCAGGGTCACTCTTGCGCGCGGCCGAAAGTATGCCCCGAGCGTTCTTGGCGCCAACGCCAATGGCTGCAGCGCGCGGCGGTGAACTGGTTTCGGGCGGGGGCGCGGCAGCTCGACCACCATGGCGACGACCCGCCTGGGCGCAATCTTCTAGCTGCTCAGAGCTTGTGGCCGCCAGCTGTTGGTTCGCGTCGAGGCCCCTGGCGGGTTTGCCTTGGGCGTTCTAGTCTTAAGTCTCGCCTTTCCTCCTACAGGAAGAATTGCAACACACTGTTCAAATATGGTTTCTGGGCGAATTCTGATCATTTTTGCATTTGTTTGAGCACGTGTTGGTAACTTTTCATATTTCGCCAAACATTTGCCCGCGGGGGGGGGGGGAGGGGGGGGAATTTCCGACCTTGCGCCAGCGTGAATAGCGTTGGAGCACGCGGCGGCGAGCTGGTTCTGGGCGGGGGCGCAGCAGCTCGACGACCATTTCCCAGGCCCCCGACCGACCAGGAGACTCGGCTTTGGACCCAGGAGGGGGAAGAAAACGCACGCAGACACCGTCAATCGTCGGTTCCCAGGAAATCACCGGAAACTATGGACAATTGGGGGGGCGATGACGATCCGGGTAGTATTAGAAAGTATGGATAATGTTTGGATTTGCTGTGCGCATTTATCATTGCATCCCAGGGCCCCTGTAAGGCCCCTGTATAAGACCCCGGACAGATCGATCAGTGCTCGTAGTGGGGCCTTCGGAGTGGCTTTCCCGCCTCGTTTGGGCAGGCAGATTCCAATGGGCCTGGTCCGACTCAGAGTTCGGGTGGGGGTCTCGGTTGCGGCATCTAGAGCGAATGATCTTCGGGGCCCCTGCTTCCTGATCTGGCGCGTTCCGAGGGGCGGTCGCGGGTCGGGTCCTGGACGTCCGTTTCGCAGGGGGCCTCGAGGTCAGCGCAGCGTTCATCTGGCATGCGGCATTGTCGTCGCAGGCTCGACGCGATCTTATTTCGTTCTAAGCGGCCTTGGGTCGTCCAGGGCGACTCGAACTTCGGAGCCCGAGGCGCTCTCCACGTCAAGTTGTCAGGGGCATACGCGTGGCGCGATTGCCGAGCCGACCTCGGCCACCTGCGCGATGTGCTACGCGAGCAAGGCCAGGGAAGGGTGGGGGGGGCATCCATCAGGACACGGGTGGAGGGAAAACCGTGGACTTCTTCGCGCTCTCGGAGCGCCTCAGCACGTGCGCGCGCGCGTCGCGCGAGTCGTTTCAGATTTCCCGCTCCCCCCTCGCAGTCCCGCGCTGCTCTGCTTGGCCAACGTGTCAGAGACAGCCTGGGTCCAGCTGCAACTTGGGCACATGCCGTTCGAGGTTTCGCGCGCGGGGCCCCCGCGCTGCGCCCAGGAGGTCCGCTGGCCGGACCCGCTGGAGTTTGTTCTGGCGAAGGGATGGTGTCCGGAGGCGGAGAAGAGGCTGGTTGAGATTCACGGGGTCGAGGATTCGTCGAGGCATATCGGTCGCGCGGGGGGGGGCCTGAGACCCATCGCCCCCCGCTGGCTTCGCCCCTGGGGCGCGGTCTTCGCCGTCGCGTCAGCAGGCAGGCCACTGCGCGGCTAGTTTGCGCTTTCGCGGGCCAGGAAATCGAGGTCCATTTCTGCGGGGCCCTCTGGCCAGAAAGGTAGGTTCCTTTTGGCGAAGTGGAGCGTCCAACTGAGCGACGCGCTTGATGAGCTCGACTTTGCCGACAGCTGGAGGGGGGGTGTCCCTGGGGTTCCTGGGCCCTCGCTGACTTGGGCGCCGCTCGAGGTGGCTCGTCGCCAGAAAGCTGGGCGCAGTTGGCCAGGCTAAGCTGCGCATGGAAGGGGCGAATCTGTCAGTGGCTGGACGGGGCAAGGCGGCCCGTGCGCCCTCGGAGCCGCCCTTGGCGCTTGGGACGTGTCGCGGGGGAGCTCGGGGAGATCCCTTACCTGTGGCGGGGTGACCGCGCTCCTTCTCCCGCCGGAGGCGCGGGCGCCCTCGCGGTTCGCGCCTGGCCGAGGCCCGCCCCCCAGTGCCTGGGGCGCCCTTACCGACGGCCCCGAGCTCCCGCCTCTCGCCCGCGCCGAGCTTCAGAGGGCTTGCAGGAAGTGCGGGGCCTCGGCCGCGCTCCACCCGCGCCGGGCCCTGCAGTTGCCCGAGCCCCGCCAATTTGGGCTGCCCGAGATCCCTGCCCTGGACGAGCTCGATCCAGCGGCGATCTTGCTCTTCGTCGCGAATGTGCTTTTTCCCTTGCCAATCAACAGGATGGGGTTAGGGGTTAGGCCTGTTAGGCCCATGTGCTTCCTCGAGAGGAGATGGGGCCGAATGAGGCAGCCCGTCTGCCGCCGCTGGGAAAAGTCGCGCGCGCTCGATGCGTTCTGGAGCACGGGGCCAGATGCCGCGCGCGAGCGAGCAGGTCGGGCGCGCGACCTTTTGGGGGCTCTTTGTATGCGGACAGGGTTGACGTCGGCATCGGCCCTGCTGGGTCTCGCCAAGTTTTACGGGAATGCGGGGCACTTCTCGCTGCTCCAAAGCTGCCCAGCGACTTCGCTTTCCCGCGCGGCTGCTACGACGCCGCTGCGCAGTGCATGCCGGCATCCGCGCGCTCCTCTCATGTGGGGCAGCTTCGGAGGTTGTCGCGTCGAATGACATTGCTCTCGCCGGTTGCTCTGCGGCCGCCGCGTTTCGGGGCCGGGGTTCAAGATGCGGGGGCCGTTGCAAACGGGGGTCAGCCAGAGCGCCCGATCCTGCAGGATCCTGCAGTGCCAGTCGCATTGCCGCGGGCTTGGGCGCAGGATCATGCAGGACATTGCAGGGTCGTTCGCATTGACCCGAGCTTGGTTCGGGACCTTGCGGGATCTCGCAAGATTCTGCAAGCCTGACTCACCATGTCTGCGTCCAAACGTTGGGCATGCTAGTCTTGCGTGGCCCGCGGCTGGAGACAAAGGACCACAGGCCCCCGCTGCTTCCGCGCAGCGCGGCGGGCGACATCGCGCTGCAGAGTTGCGGCCCGAAGTTGTAGGTGGCGCGCAGCTCCCCAGCAGAGTGGCGAGCCTCTTCAGATGCTTCGAGGGCGCGAAGCTGCCTGTAGAGTCGACGAAGTGCGCCTGCCTGCGTGCAACGGGGTGGCCGCGCACATGAAAGACAGCTGGACCCTTACCTTGTCTTGCCGCGCGGACTCGACGAGGGACCTAGGCGGCGCCGCCGCCCTTGGAGGCGTTCGGGGGGGGAGTCGATGCACGGCGCGAGGCCATGCGCGGCTACGTCGAGGGCCAGGAGGCTCAAGATCATCTGTTCGGCGGGGGCGGACGTCAGCGTGGCCCATCGGGCGGGGCCCGCGGCAGCGGCCCTCTGGGGCACCAGCGCGGCTGGGGCGACCCCCCGACAAGATGGCTGGCCTCGGGGCCTCGGCGGCGAGAAGTCTTGGGGGGCTCCCTAAAGGTGCTTCTGCGTGGCTCAGGCTGCGCGCCTACGGGCACGGGGTCAAGGTTGGCCCGCTCGCGGTCCACGCGGGGCGCGTGATTTTCGCGCGGGCCAACGCTGTCTGGGAGGAGCACCGTGACCCAGTCGTTCAGCAAGTGTCATGGTGCCAGGCGTCCGTGGAGGAGCTGCTCCTCGCCTGCCGGCGTGGCCCAGCTCACGCTGCGCGGCGTCAGCTGGGATTTTCTGGATGCAGTTGCATATTTCATGATCGTGGCGCTCGAATCAGTCTCCTGAGTCTCGCTCCTGCGCGGATCAATGGGATAGTTCGTGAGGGGGCGGTTCGAGGTTCTAACCGTCGCGCTGGGGCTTCATGGAGGGCTTCGGAGAGGGCGCGACACACCTCCTAGTTGTCCGATCTTCTGGGATGGGAGCAAGGGGCTTTCTGTGATAAGTCTAGCTCCTGGGACAAGTGTCACCAGAGATGTTTTCGGGGGTTCGTGCCCAACGCCCACTGGTGCCAGTTTAGGCTGCACGCGCGCGGCCTACCCCACGACCAGGAGTGCCAGTTGTGCGCGGGCGGCCCTGGGGCCCTGCAGCACCGCCAGTATGGCCCCCCTGCTCGCGGCGCCCTTCGACGCGAGCACATGTCGGGCGGCGCGTCGGAAACATGGCTAGGCAAGCGCAGCTGCTCGGCCGGCCACCTCATGGCGGAGCGGTTCGCGCGAGGAGTCTTCCCCGAACTCGGGCCCCCATTCAGCATCGCGCCCGAGAAGGGGACAGCTTTCTGGCATAATCGCCCCGCGGCTGGGGTCCTGTCGGGGCTGCTCTCCCTGGGTGGGTCTGCCCTGGATGCGTCCTGCTTCCGTTCTTCGCGCGTGTAACTTTCTCCCCTCTGTTCATTGCCCCCCCCCCCCCCCCTTCATCGCCGCCCCCCAAACCAACCCAACTCAACCCGAAGGCCCCGCTTGGCCCTCCATCTCCAATGGGGGGGGAGGGGGGCGTCGGGGAGCATCGAGAAAACGCGCGCGTGGAACCCGTGCCCCCCCCCCACCCCCCCCACCCCCCCACCCGAAATCTGGGTCTTCGGGCTGGGCTGGGGGCGGTCTGGTGGATAGTCACTCCAGCGCCGCCCAGCAGCCGCGGAGCGGTCCTGCCGCCGCGCGTCGCGCGTGGGCTCGCTCCGCCCGGGGGCGTCGGCTTCGGCCCCGCCCAGGGCGCGCCTCCGCGCGGGGCCTCCTCGCGAGCCCTCGGGGAAGCGCCTCTTTCGTGCTCTCCCGGCGCCCGCTTCTCCTCGTGGCCACGCTGCGATGGATGCGCCCGGCGTGGGGATAAGCGCGCTGTTGCGCGCGCGCGTTCTCTCGCTCGCTCGCTCGCTCGCTCGCTCGCTCGCTCCCCCTCCCTCTCTCTCACTCCCTCTGTCCCTTCCCTCTCGCCTTATTTGTTGTTATGTGTTGTTTTTGTTTGTTATCTCTCTTTCTTTTTCTATATATCTCTCTATATTCCCCCCCTCTGTCGTTTTTTTTTTTTCTCTCTCTCTCTCTCTCTCTCTCTCTCTCTCTCTCTCTCTTATTGTGTATTATCTCTCTCTCTCTCTGTCCCTCCCTCTCTCCCTTCCCTCTCTCTCTCTCTCTCTTGTTTTGACTTCTCTCCTTTTCTCTCTCTCTCTCTCTTTCTCTCTCTCTCTCTCTATATATATGTGTATGTCTCTCCCTTTCTCCACCCTTTCCCTCTTTTTGTTGCCCTCTCTCTCTCTATATCTTTCTCTCCCTCTCCCTGGTTTCCCTTTTCGATCAAAGCTATCCGCGCGCGACTCTGAATATCGTTGGACCCAGCCCCGTCTGTCCAGCGATCGCTCGACAGGCGCGGCTCATCTGCGCGCCACCCCCGTGTCGGGGATTTTTTTCGGGCGCGCTTATGGGGAACATTCGAATCCTCCCGGTCGCCCAGGGGGTCCGGTTTGCTGCATACCGTATTTGGCCGCATTTTTGCTGTCAAGTTCAAGGAGGGCCCGCCGCAAGAAATCAGTTTCTGCTCTGGCCCCAGATACTGTAGGTTCGCGTCGTGTCGACCAGCGGCGACCCCGCCGCCAGCGTTCGACGCTGAACGCCGCGGGCGGCCCAGAATCGGTCCTGCGGGGGCTCTCTGGAACATCCCCTCCCTTGCAAACCCGTCTTTTGAACCCTCCGGGTCAGCTCTGCCGCGCCCCAGCTGCTGCCACGCAGCGCTTCGTGCCCTCACGCCTCGGCGGGCAGGGCGTCCGCCCCTCATAGGCAGAGGGCTCAACGGTCCGTCTCGGGAGCCTTGAGACGGGGGTCGATGCTCGAGTAGGGCATCGACTGCAGAGTTGAGTTGCTTTGCCCCGAGAAAATTTCTCGTCCAGCCATACATAGACTGCTTGTAGATCTACGAACGTTCTACGCATGTTTCTTGGATTCGATGAACAAACCAACTCTGGGAGAAATCAATGTTGTAGTCGACCCCCTACTCGAAATGCCAGCGGAGGTCGGCCAGAACGCCGGATCTGGCAGGATCCTGCAGAGCCAGGGGCGCACTGACCCGGGCTAGCGCGAATAATCCTGCAGGACCTGGCAGGATCCTGCAAAGCCTGACTGACCCGGGCTTGTATCGACCCCGGTCAGTGCGTCCCCGACCCAGATCTCCGACGTCATCTTGGTACCGCTCGGACGTGTGCATTTTTTCCCGGCGGGGGCCAACGAGGAACATGCACGAGACCGAGCACTGCACGGGGAGGGGACGTCCGACCGATGGCGAGTCACGATTTTTTCCCAACGTTGACCACCGCAGGTCTGCACCCCTACCCAGGGACTGTTTTTTGTTGTCCCGAGCTGTTCTCTTACGGTCCCGCGGGGCCCGGCGACGGCCCCCCGAGTCCGAACATGGCCAACAGAAATCCGGTTGATTTTTCCACTGCGAGAGGAGGTGGAGGAGGAATCGAAGGAGGAGGAGGAAGATGAGGAGGAGGAGGAGGAGGAAGAGGAAGAGGATGAGAGAGGAGGTTGAACGCAACGATCTCCGATCCATGCCTGTGCAACGTCAGGAAGAAGCATGAGGAGGAGGAGGAGGAGGAGGAGGAGGAGGACGAGGAGGAGGAGGAGCGGAGGAGGAGGAGGAACAGGAACAGGAACAGGAACAGGATGATGATGATGATGATGATGATGATGATGATGATGATGATGATGATGATGATGATGATGATGATGATGATGTGATGATGATGATGATGATGATGAGGAGGAGGAGGAGGAGGAGGAGGAGGAGGAGGAGGAGGAGGAGCGGAGGAGGAGGAGCAGGAGCAGGAGGAGGAGAAGAGGCGCAGGCGGAGGAGGGGGAGGGGAAGCAGGAGCAGGGCGTGGGCCCGCCGCCAGAACTTCGTCATGGCCAAGCTGGGGGACTGCTTGGCCGACGAGGACAACCTGCTGCACTGGCTCGGGCGGGAGCTGGGCGACTTCGGCCCCGGCCTCTGCTCTCGGCTCGCCGGCCCGGCCCCCCCCTCGGCCCCCCCTCGACCGGGGCGTGCGGGCCGAGCGCCTCCTCGCTCGTTTGGGCTCCCTGTCCCCCTTGGTCTCCCGCCTTGCCTCCCTCCCTCCCTCTCTCTCTCTCTCCTTCTCTCTCTCTCTATATATACATATGTATACGTATGTCCCCCTTTCCCCTCCCTCTCTCATTTCTCCCTCTCTCTCTCTCTCCCTCTCTCTTTCTCCCTCCCTCTCTTTCTCGCTCTCTCTCTCTCTCTCTGTCTCTCTCCCCCATCAGACTGCACGTCTGCATTCACAAGCCATGTGCGCATGTCTGTGCAGATGAGCAGGTGCCCAGCCGGACGCCTGCGCGGTCTCCCACTCTGAGGCCTGCGCCGGCTCCTGATCTGACGCCCGCGCCGGCTCCCAGTTCGACACCAGCTGCGCGACGCTGCGCTGGAACCGCACACTCAGCTCTGAGGGCCTCAGTGCCAGGGGTGAGCCCGGCTGCCTCCGCCCCCGCCCCCCGCCTCTTGTCAGTGTGTCCTCCTGTCGTTTCCTCGTAAATGTGCTCTGGGACCGGGCCTGTTGCCTCATGGGTGGCCCGGCTCTCTTCGCCTCCCCCGATGCTTCTTCCTCCCGTTTCCACCGTATCTTTTTGGGGGCCACCCATGCCACAAGTGTGCATTGTATTACCGGGCCGCTTTTGTTGCGCACACCCTACCAAGATGTAGTTTCTGTCGTCGTCTCGAAGCGGAAAAAAAGTTTCACCCAGTATCGAGCGTGGCCGTCACGATCGGCTGTCCCTTGGGTTGTTCTGACTGGATCTTGGGGTCCACCTCACGGGCACGGTGAGGTTGCCATTGGTCTGCTGTGTGGGTCGGCGTCCTCTCTGTGGGGAGAAGAAACAGTTTCTCTCGTCGTCTCTCCTTTCCCCTTCCCCGCGCCCCCCTCGGTCGTGCTCGCGAGGGTATCTGTGCGCGGGCCGTCCACCCAGGCGGGCCTACGCACGCTCGGGTTTGTTGTAATGATGGTTGCCTGGAGCGCCTTGCTTCCGTGCCCCTCGCGTTCCCAATTTTGACGCCTACAGGGCGCATTTCGTTGGCGAGGCTGTGTCGCCGAATTCCTGGGGATGCCATCCCACCTGCTGTCATTGTTCCTCCTTCTTATCCAACTCCTCCTCGTCCTCCGTTGCGTTAGTGAATGGGCTGTCCCGTTTCAGAAGTGGCTCAGCAGGTGCATTGAGCTCGGTGACCTTGCCTCGTCCGCCGACGTCGCTGCCAGATTGTACAGCTCGTCGGTTCTGTCCTGTTCGTCTTAGGTGGCGCAGTTTTGCTCCATCGGTGACGCCACGAGGAAGAAAGAGCTGCGGGGCCTGCACAAGGCCTTGCACCTTCCGCCCAGCTCTTTCGCCCTCTTCCCTCTTGGCTCGTGGACCCCCTCTCCCGTTTTTCGCTCTTGCCCACGGCCCTGGCTCGTGCCTGGTGCTGCGCTTCGCTCACGCTCGACTCCCTCTGGGGCCCCCCCTACCACCGTCTCAGCGACGCCGCGGAGGCCCAGAGTGATGCGGGGGGTCTTCGAGTGGTCGACTACATTCAGGGTCGCTGGTGTGCTCCGTGTTGGCAGCGTCGCCAGGCGACGGTTCAATATTGTGAGCAGCTTCGCTCCGCCGTGCCGATGTCGCACCCCCTCCTAGTCTTTGAGCTGCTTCGCCCCGCCCAGAGCCGTGCGCGAAGCGCCGTGCGAGAGGCCGCCCGGGAGGGTCCTCGGCCCTATCGATACGGACTCGACACTACGCGTGCTCTTGCGATGTTCGCCTTTCCCGATTGGCTTGAGCTCCTAACTGGGCATCGCTTGCGGTCGTGGTTCGATTGTCCTACCCCCCGGAGCTTGAGAGTGAGGTGGGACCTGGCGCGGGAAGTCCTGTGTCTGGCTCTTCCAAGCGTCCGCTGGCCGTACCTCGAGACGACCTCGGGAGAGAACGGACCACCACCGCGGACCGAATGCACGTTAAAGACACTCTATGGAACTGGGTTTTTGGGTGCTCCCGCCCCGACAACATGGCACAGTATTTCAAGTGCCCCCGCGTCACTTACGGTGGGGGCGTTGGTTAAGGAACGTGCCCAGGAGGCTTCAGACCCTGGAGGGTTCTTTACCTGATGAGGGCGGCGGTGAGATTCATGGCCAATCCACGATTGGCGTTCCACGGGCTTCCAGACCCCATTCCTTATTCAAGGGTTTCTCATCCAATGCCCCCACCGTACTTCGTTTGTCGTCCCCGTGCTGTTGTCTCGCCGTGCCCCTTCCTCCATCTAGGGCGTGGGCTCCCTGTGCACTATCCCGCGCTTGACGATGCAAGTTTAGCAACAGCTCGCAGCTTCTACTCATACATAGATATGCGCGTGGACACCACGATGATAAGGAAATGGCCTCGCGTCAAGACGGGCGCACCTTAACTTCGCCGCAGCAGCTATACGCCCTCAAAGCAGCATTCGTCAAAATGCACAGCAGTTGCTCGATGTGTGCGCCTCCGCCGGGATTGGCCAAGCCTTACGGTTGGCTGGAGCCCAAAACGCGCTGAGAGCCGAGAGGCCCGTGGACTCAGGAGGTACTGGCGCTCATCCGTCGCGTCAGTCGTGTGCTGGTACAGAGGAAAGGCTGACAGAGCCATCGGGGATGCCCACACAATGCGTTTGCCTTTTCTCCCGCTTCCTCCCTCTCCTCTTCCCTCTCTTCCATGGAGGCTGCTTCCCGCGGTGGAGTTCCCTGCCCCGCAGTGGGAAACTGGTAATTTCCATCATTACTCCATTTGCCCAAGGAGAGGTATCTATGCAACTGTGTAATATGTGTGAATGTGTGTGTTGTGCGTGTTGATCCGATCTTGTTTCGATGATACCCTCTCCTATGTGTCTCTACGTGTATGTTCCTATATATATAATACACATGTAGATGTGGATGTGTTTGATATTGCGGTGTGCATACCTGCATGCACATATCTACATGCATGTATACATCCATTATCTACACACACTCTCTCTCCCTCTCTCTCTTTGTTACATCATCTCTCTCTCTCGCGGTCCATGTCGTCTGAGACGGCCCGCCTCGCGGTTTTCGGACCCCCCCTTGCATTACGGAGTCGAGAATGTGTATATATGGATATGTATAAAAAGAGAGAGAGAGAGAGAGAGAGAGAAAAAAAAAAAAAAAAAAAAACAGAGAGAGAGAGAGAGAAAGAAAGAAAGAGCGAGTGATAGAGAGATTCCGATCCTGACAAAATCAGGGTGTCCCCGGTGTCCCCTGCCCCCCCCCCCTCGCCCTCCCGCCTCGCCCGAGCCCCTCCCCCCCAAGTGCCCCTTTGTCGTCCCCCCTCCTCCTCCTCCTCCTCCTCCTCCTCCTCCTCCTCCTCCTGCTCCTCCTGCTTCTTCTGCTCCTCCTCTTCCTCCTCCTCCTCCTCCTCCTCCTCCTCCTCCTCCTCCTCCGCCCCCTTTTTGCCCCCGCGGGCTGCGGCCTGCCGAGCGGCGGTCTCCCCCTGCGATCGCGGGGCCGGCCCCGGGGTTGCTCTCTCTTAGCGGCGCCCGCCGCCCCTCGGGGCGAAGGCTTCGGGTGACGCCGCCGTCTGGGTCAAGCAGTGGCGAAGCGTTCTGACGTGCCTATAGGCCTACCAAAGAATGTTCTCAGAACCTTTTGCGTTTTCCACGAGATGTCCTCAGAACACTTCCGGCTGGGACTGTTTTGTTTTAACACCTGGCTCTTATGTTCTAGGAACCTTGTTGTCGTTATTACGTAGAACATTTTTGGGTTCTAAGAACATGTCGTGGTAGTCCTATAGAAATGCCGGGACGGTCGGTCCCTGCTCAAGTCCCAGAGATCCAATCGGCGACTACAACAGGGTATGGTTACGCCAGGGTGTGTGGTTTGCGATCGGCACCGTTGGGGCCTAGGGGGGACGACGCTGTCCTCGTCGGGCCTCCTCGGGGCGCGGCGGGGAGCTCTATATAGAGGTCCCCGCCCGCCCCCCAGGGTGCCAGTTGCAAACCACCCAAACCCTTTGGAGCCGCCGATCCAAAGCTCGGGAGGATCTAAATGGGTACCCCAGACCCCCTCGAGTCATGAAAACATCACGTCGTTTTTGTTTGGCTGTTGCTTTTTCGGCCTCTGGGGGCCACTACGGGGCCGCGGGACCGTCAAAAAAACGATTCGTAATAAAAAACCGGTCCAGGGGAATGTGTCGAGACCTGGGGGTCGACGTCATGAACAAATCATGACGTCGGGGGTCTGGGACGGAAGCAACGTATACAAGTCGGCGGGGATCGAGGGGTTTCGGTAGCAAATCATGGGAGCCTGGTATACCCTCTTAGTTCCGTCTTTCGCGTCGACGCTCGTCGATTAGCGTCTGGGAGTCGATGAAATAGTGCTGGTTTAGCGTCGGCTAGCGTCGATGAGCGTCGATTTAGCGTCGATTTGCGTCGGTTCGCAAGAGCCAACAAGATGGTATAGGAGGCTCCCATGAGTTGCCCAGAAGCGGGGGAACTGCGAAGGAGAAGGCCTTCCCAGAAGGTGGCGGGACTTCTCAGACGCCCTCGCGCCTCCTGAGAGGTTTGTTGTTTCTTCGGGGAAAGCTTTCAAGACTTTTTGAAAGCCCAGATGATTCCCGAGCCGTCTGAAAAGGCCATATCCTTCTCACTTCCCCCCTCGCTCGCCGCCGGACAAAGTCCAACAGCAGTTCTTGTTCGTCCTGGACAGGGTTCGCTGTCGGCGTCGCTGCGGTCCCTGTCCATTTGAGGTAGAAGGCCGCCTGCCCAACAGTGTCCGTTGTCGGTTTTGGACGACATTTGTTGTTGGGCATCGTACCCATCTTTCCCGTACCCATTTCGGAGGTCCAATAGCTAATGCGTCGCAGAAATACAAGTGGGAAGTCTTTCGCCGTTTTCGGCCTCTGGAGGCCCGCGCCAGGCCCCGGGCCGTGGACAAAACGGCTCCGGATGGGAAGCCCGTCCCCGATGGTGGGTCGAGGCTTCGTGGACCCCGTATTGAAGAAATCAAGACGTCGGATCTTTGGGTGTTCTTCCCAAACATACCTGTGACCGCCCTGGGGCCCGAAAGCAGCCCCCCCCCCAGAGCCCGAGATGCGGCCCCAGACGCCCGACGAGGCGATTCTTTCACTGCGCGGCCCGACCCCGTCCCCGGGGGCAGTTGTTTCGTTCCAGAACAAAGTTTGATGTTCCTGGGGCCCGTTCACGGGACACGGAGGGCGACTGCAGAAGCAAACGCCGCCAATGGAAGAAACAGACTCGGACGTTTGGGTCCCTGGTGGCTTCGGGCCCTAGCTCGGGCCTCCCTGCGGCCGCGCGGGGAGCTCCGGGCAGCCCCCGAGGGCGAACGCAAAAGCAAACGCCGCTACTGAAAGAAACAGGCTCTCGGACGTTTGGGTCCCTGGCGGCTTTCGGGCCCTAGCTCGGGCCTCTCTGCGGCCGTGCGGGGCGCTCTCTGGGCAGCCCCGGGAGCGCTCTCGACGAGGCGCGGCCTCTTGGAAGCCACCCCGAGGCTGGAGAACCTTTGCCGGGTTGGCCCGAAAGGGGGTCCGGCGACAAGGAGGTGGTGCCATAGATTTGGTACAATGGATTTGTGGGGTTGCAATACATTTG